GCAGGACACAAGGGCTGGCCCGCAGACCTCACGCAGGGTTCAGTGCCCCCATCTGCTAAGTGGGCTTGACTCTGTGACACGACACCTCCACAAGGTCCCAAAAACAAAGTCCCTGGCACAGCCATCTGAGCCTTCACGGGGGCAGGGAGATCCTGGACGGGCTGCGGAGATTCAGAAAAGAGGAGGCCAACAACCCCAGCAGGGACCACCGTGCTCCTCCGGGGACCCCACGGGGCCTGGCTCACTCTCGGGCACACCGGGACCCAGGCCGGCAGCCAGCAGCGCCAGGTAAGCGCCTGTGACTCCGGTGACTCCGTGTGTGCGCGACGGTGAGCGTGCACACACCCAGGCCCTGCACGCGGTCCGCACCCGCTCTCCCCACGGCGGCCGGGCCAATTTTCCTTAGCTGCTTTCTGCTCCATTTCACGCTCATTCAGCTGCTGAGCTAGACAATTGCTTTGTAACTCTAGGGTGCAATTTCCCTGTCTGTGAGGCGCTGGGGCACAACTGCTCAGAACATCGCGCACCAGGCTGGGGTGGGTGTGCGAGCCGAGGTCCCTGGCCCCACCCGCCTCCTCAGGCCTCTGAGGACGATCCCAGCGGCGGGGTAGGAGCTGGTCCTGGGGACCGAGCCGCCGCGAGAGCTCTCCTGTGGCTGGTCTGTGTCCACAGAAAGGGCGACCTCAGTGTCCCCACGCCCTCCGTTCCTGAGTCTGCTCCTCCACACCGCACAGCCCTGCAACCACCATGTCCTGTTACGGTCCAATGCTGGAAACCTGGCCCCACCCTGAGCCACGCAGGAGGCCCAGGGAGGACCTAGCCATGGGTCTCCCCTTCAGAAGGAGGGAAAACATCCCACAGACAAGACTCCCCGAACTCCCAGCCAGCCCACGACAAACTAGGCTGCCTTCTCCAGCAGCCGGAAGAGCCAAGTGTGTCCATTTTCCTGACGGACAGCCGAGGCCCCAAGAGGCCAAAGAGCAGACCAGGCAGGCAGCAAGGACAGAAGGCCCAACCCCAGGTGGCCGGCCACCCGCCCAGCAATGGGACATCGCCTGTCAGAGCCGCTTCCTGGAATCCCTGCAAAACCACCTCCTTCATCGTCCAGGTGACAAAGGCCCTGAATGGGAGGGGCAGACCAGAGGATGGAAGACGAGCTGCACCCTAGGAAATGGAAACATTGGGGCAGGGGGGCAAGGTTGCGGGGGGACCCCTAGTCCACCACAGTATCCCGAAACCAATCCACTTCAGAGCCTCAGGACAAAGGTCTGGAAGGTGACCCCCAAAAGGACTCTAGCCCCCAACAGCTACACGCCAGCCCCCCAGTCCTTTGAGCCCCAGACCCCAGCCTCATCCCTAGCCCAGCTAACAGCCAATTCCCATGAGAAAACACCAGTTAACGGGCCACCCTGAGGCCCTGGCCACCAAAGCCAGCTAAAAACTACAAATGCGAGCCCAGCAGAGAAGGGAAGGAGGTCCCAATGGCAGTGCCCCAGCCCTGCGCCAGCTGCAGGCTGGGGAGGGCCTCTGCCCTGTGTTTGCTGGGACAGCTGTGCCCTCTTCTCCAGAGGACAGGCCCTTGCTCACCACTCAAGGCCTCAGCCCTGAAGCATTTGACCCATGGCAAAACCCAACATAGCCCAAGAAATGAAACTCAAGCAGCCTCCGCTGGTGCTGGGTGGGCATTTAAGACTTTCGCCCCACCCCCACACCACCTTCCGTGCAGCTGAGGTCTGTCCCTCTCCTGAGGCCAGATCCCCTGTACATATGAGGCCAGCCCCCAGGGGCAGAGGGGCACACCCCGAAGTACCCCCTGTGCCCACAGTAATTCCACAGCAAACCCTCCAGATACCCTTTCCCGGGGGAGGAAACAAAAGCCCACCAGCAGCGACCTCCCACCTAGCCACAGGGGGGTGGGGCAGGGGCCGAGACAGCAGTTAGAGGGGCCTCATGGTGGAAGCGAGCCCCCCACAGGCCCTGAAGGACAGGCACAGCTGGAAGAACCACCAGGTGCTGGCAGAGATGGGAGCCAGTCAGAGCAGCTGCCCGTGTGACCAGGGCTGCCAGCTCAACCTGCACCCCACACCCCAAGGGACTCAGAGCACCCGCCCTCCACAGGCCGTTCCTAGGGGCCCAACTTGTCCCACCCACATCTGGGCAGAGGGTCACAGCTGCATGCTCGGGTCCAGGCCCAGCAGCCAGCCCTAGGCAAGGATGGAGGCTGGCAAGGCCAGGGCCACCATTGGACTGAGCCATTTTTCTCACCCTGACACCTCCTCAGTCAACAAACAGGGCTCCTCCAGAGTTTACCAAAACAAACGCCCGCAGTCAGCAGTGCCCGCGCCGAGACGCCCTCGCCAGGCCTCAGCGGGACTCCAAGCCCAGCCTCCTGAGAGTCACGTGACCCTGTTATTTCGGGAGGCCCCGGAATGCGCTCTATTTTGGGTCCCAAGGGCTCTGATGTTACCAGAAGCCCCTCACCCAGACTGCAAGCTCACCCAGGTCCCTGAGCGCCCCGACTCCAAGAGCAGTCAGCGGGCCCACGGCTCTGCCACCGGTCTCTCCACGGGCGCACGGGGTCTGGCGTGGTCTGAGACCTTTGGACTCTGTGGACTCCGCCTGTGTCCCACCATTCAAGACGAGGCCAGCCAGAGCCTTCTCCTGGCAGCCACGGGAGCACGGCCAGCCCCGGGCGGCAGGGCCAGGAAACCGGGACTGCCTCCGGCAAGTCCCTCAGCCTTGCTTTCCTTCCAGCGCTGGGCGCTGGACTCATCCCTGCTCTCACGGAGTGGCCCAGTGGGTGCCAACTGGGACCCTCCTCTGGCCCCCGGAGCCCAGCGGCAGCGCATGCTGGGGGGAGGAAGCCCTCTCTACCCCAGAGCCCAAAAGTGTCTGGCCAGCCTCCCCAGCAGCTCAGGTCTGACCGGGCGGCTAGCCGGGCCGGGACAAGCCAAGCCGTCCGCCACTCACCCCCAGGAGGGATTAGGCTGTGTTGACAAAAGGGCTTAGACGAGTAGCAGCTTAAATGGACCTTCGACTGCTCTGGACTTCAGAGCTGGTCACAAGCTTAGAAAAAAATAAAATGTAATCAGAGCCCAGGACTCTCTGCTCAGCCCTGGGGCGTGGGCTGCCTGGGAGGCCGTGTGCCTCCGAGGACAGAGGACTCCCAGCTTTCTTGTGGCAGGGAAGTGCCCAGGGAGGTCCCTGGGGCAGCGGCTCAGAGGCACGGCCTCTCCTCCTCACAGGGACTCCAGCAAGCCACCCTGGGGACGGGGCACCCTTGCTCCCTCACCCAACATTCACCAACTCCGTGGACTGTCCCGCCCAGGGCATTGGAAACACGGACTTGTTAGGTTCTCAGTACTCAGCTGAAGTGCCGCCAGCCAGGCCCCTGCCAGGCCCAGGGGACAGAGACTGAGCTGAGGGATTCCTTGTTCCCGAGGAATCGTCTGGGAGAGCCGAGCTCTGTGCGTGTGCACACGTGTGAGTGCAAAGCTTTAACGGGGAGACGGCCACCGTAGGCCCCACGACGGCGCAGGCGGTCAGTCTCCCTGCCGCTCACACTCAGCAGTTCTACGAGCGGGGGGTGCCAATTCCAAACTCCCCACTTTGTATCCTGGGGCTCAGCCTCTCCCAGCCAGTTTTCTCATCTGCAAAATGGGCATGAGTGCCCACCCCGGGAGGCTGAGCCCTGGAGTTCATTCAAGGCCTCGAGCCTGCCACTCCGCCATGACAGTCAAGGAGTCTGACAAACCTGGAACCCACCCCCGCCCCGGGTCCCGGGTCAGCACCCCTGCCTGTTAGTGCCAGGGGTACTCAGACCCTCCCCCCACAGCCAGGACGGGTCAGGTCCAGGCTGGCTCCCCTTCATACCCCATCCCACTAAACATCCCTGCAGCTACTCTGGCTTCTGAGTACCTCCTGGGGTGGCCAAGCTGCCCCCCGGGCTGCAGGGACGGTGAGCAGGAGGGGCCGTGGATGGCGAGGCTTCATTCATAATCAGCTGTTTTAATTTCCATTCAGCACAAATCCTTCACCCAGCCTGACAGCCTGGCTGCCGTCCCACCACCAAATTAATATCCTTCCCGGAGCTCATTTATAAAGTCTCCCCTTTCTCACTAGCTTCCAAACCCTTGGGAGAGCAATGGGTGGGGGCCCGAGCCGTGCCCTCTCCTCCTCCTCGGTAGGTCTGGGCCTGGAGTTGGCGGGCAGTCTGGGATAGGAAGCCACCGGGCGGGGGGACGGCAGCAGGAGGGGGAAAACTGAGCCTCCGAGCCTCTGGGCTGTCCGGCTCACAAACGGAGAGCCAGCCTGGGAGAACACGAGGGGGTGCCAGAGTGAGCGGGCCCCTTTCTGGGATGGGGCCTTCCCAGGTCTGACGTTCCTTTCACGCAGCCCCCGGGGGACCCTGCCCACCCGCGCGTGGGCTGCTTTGGGGTAAAAGGGTCCCAGTCTGTTTCCTCGGCGGACGCACGCCCAAGAGCCAGCGGCCTGATGGAAGCGGCAAACCCGCGGGCGGGCGGCGCAGAGGCCGCTCCGGGCCCAGCGCGCCGTCCGGGTGCCCAGGCCGGGGAGGCCGGAGCCGCGGAGCGCAGAAGTTGCTCCTCCCGCCCCGGCCGGGTTCCTGCGCGGCCCGGCTGCAGCTGGGCGCCGGGGCTGCGCGGGGCCGGGGGCGCAGGCGGCCGCCGGTGACCGGGAGACCCCTCCTCGTCCCGGGCGAACCTGCCGCCCGCTCCCCGGCCCCGCCGCCCAGCCCCGCTCCCCGGCCGAGTGAGCCGCCCCGCGCGGGCCGGGGGCCGCCGCCGCCCTCGCCCCTCCCCGCGCGGGCCCCGGGAAAAGTTGCCCCGGGTCGACCCCTCCTGGCCCGGCGCGCGAACTCTCGCCAAGGTCGGCGCGGGGTCCGAGCGGGACCCGGGCCGGCGACCCCGCGCGCGCCGCCCACGCGCCCGGGCCCCCGCCCGGCCCCGGCCCCGTCCCCGCCCGGCCCCGCGAGCACTCACCGAGCGGCAGGAAATGTTTGGTGTCCATGTCTGCCACTAACTCATGCCCGGCCGGCGGCGCGGGCAGCGGGCGGCGGGCGCGGCGCCCCCGGCGCGGCCGGCCCGGGCCCGGGCGGCGGGGAGCCGGCGGCTGCGGCGGCGGCGGCGGCGGCGGCGGCGCGCGGAGGCCGCGGCGCGGCGAGTTGTTGCAAAAGTCGCCCAACAATGTAAACTACTTGTGTCTGCGCGCCGCCGCCGCCGCGCGCGCCCGGCCCGCGCCCCCGCCGCCGCCGCCGCGCGCCCGCGCCCCGCTCCGACCGCGGCGCTGCGGCGCCGGCGGGGGGGTGGCGGGGGGCCCGCGACGGGCGCGGACTCGGCGCAGCGCCGCCGCCGCCGCCGCCGCCGCCGCTCGGCCCGCGCCCCTCCCGCCAGGCCCCGCCCGGAGCGCGCCCCCCTCGGCCGCCGCCGCCGCCCCGCGATCGCCGCCCGCCCGGCAGCCGAGTTGCGAACGCCCTGCAAACTTGCGAGTTCGCCTCCGCCAGGGGTTCCCGGGAGCGACGAGGCGGCGGCGTGGGAGGGGGCGGAGCGCGGCGGGAGCGGGGCGGGGGCGGGGCAGAACTCCCTCCCGGGCCCGCCGCACACTCGCGCACACACACACACACTCGCACGCTTGGGGCCCGGAGGAGGCGGAGAGCCGGGCCGGGAGCCCAGCGGCCAGGCCATTGTCTGCGCGGCCACACAAAGCGGCCGGGCGGTGGCCGCACGGGGACCCCGGCCCGGGCCCGGCGGGAGCAGAACGGGGCGGGATGGCCGCGGCACCCATCCCTCGCGCCGTTCCCCCACCCCCGGCAGACACATGGGGAAACTGAGGCCCGGGAGTGGCGATGAGCCTCCAACGCCGGAGGACGGTCTCCCGGTCCGGGGAAGGTTTCATCTTCCGGACGCTCCCGCCGGCCCACCCCCACCCCTTTCACGCCCTACCCCCGCGGAGGGGCTCCCGGGCCCACCGGGCGGGGGAGGGGGCTTCGCTCCACACCGACCCGCACTCTTGGGACGCCTCCTCGGAGCACCGGGCTGGGCGGGAGCTGCCCGGAGTTGGACAGACTTTGTGGCCGCTGGCTATTTTTACACCCTGGGCAGTTCTCCGCCTGACTTTTAAATTCACGATCTGTTTGAAAACGAAAGGAAGCACTCCTGCCCCGGGACAGCCCGGGCCTCCTCCGCGCCGCGCGCCGCCCGCCCGGCCCGCCGTCTTGGGCAGCTGGAATTCGGGTTTGGGTGTGAGCTACCTGCGCACCGCCAAGCCCAGCCTTCCTGAGCAGGCGCCCAGGCGCCCAGCCGCGCCTTCCCTCCGCGCCCCCACCGCGAGCTCGCCGCCCGCCTGGACCTAAGGGCCCGGGCTGGAGACCGGCCCTGCGCGGCGCAGGGGCTGACCAGTCACACAGGCTGCACGTGGTGGCCCGGGTCAGGGGATGCTGATGGAGAGGGAGGTGAGGAGGTGATGACCGTGTGTGGACAGCCATGACATAGCCCAGAGATAACAGCCCAAGACCAGAGAGGTGTCCTGCGGCCTGCATGCCCTAAAGCTGAGCCACCCGGAGCTGGGTCCCACGAGGATCCCTGTGGCCTGTCATGGTGGGAGGTCTTGCTTCCACTTGGGACAAGAGCGCGTTGGTGGGGGCTGCAAGGGTGAGCCCTGGTTGGGCAGCCCGCCCCCAGCACAGCCAGAGGCCAAGGCAGCCCTCTCACCCTCCCCCTCTTTGCTGGCCCCTGGGCCCCCTACCAAAGGCCACCCTGCCCCCCTATTCACACACCCTGTCCAACAGGCAGCTGCCCCCTCCCTGTGGGATGAGGGCCACTGTGGACACCTGGTCATCACCCACTGGTGGTCACGGCCACAGCAAACCCACTTCCCCACTGCTCAAGGCAAGCCGGCCCGACGCACTGCCCTTCTAAAACTGATTTCGTCCTGCCAGGGAGAGGGGCGGCAAACACAGGACAAGGACAGAGGAGGAGCCCCGTGAGCACCGCATAAACTGCAGAAGTGCCAATGCCTGCCCTGTTCCCGGCCTGCCTCTGTCACTGCTTCGGCCCGTGCTGACCATACTCAGGTGGAGGCAGGGTCCCAGAGGGACAAGGCCTGGGCCAGATCTCAGGTCCACCTCCTACCAACCAAGTGGCCTGGTGGGGTCACTTCCCTCCTCGTGTCTCAGTTTCCTCATCTATAACTGGGAACAACCACTCCCTCCTCACTGAGTCACTGAGATGACTAAATGAGATAATATGGAGAGTCTGGCCCCAGGAGGAGGAGCTCGGTGTGACGGTCACTGTGATGACGATGATGATGAAATGACGCTGAGCTAGGCAGGCCCTTCGTGCATGGTCAGTACCGGGAGAGCAAGGCCCTGTCCAGCCGGAGGGCTCGGGCAGCTTCTGGGATCACTGGTTCTTGTGTCAGGTTTCGGAGGAGGGAGGTTCAGTCAGGCAGTGACCGCCCAGGCAGCAGGGCCAGCGGAGCAGTGGCCTGCAGAGAGAAGGAGCATTAGGCCTCGGCCAGCAGGTCAGGACATGCCGAGCAATGGTGGGAAGGCTGGCCTGAAGTGTCTGAGGTCACCTCCCGACAGTGGGTGTCGTGGCACGCCCCATCTCACTCCTTGCCCCCGAAAAATCAGGACTCAGGAGCCATTGGTGCCTGGAGTCAGGGAGGCATAGGCAGGCAGATTTCCATGTGGCTTCCTCCCAGGAAGGCTGAAGGTTCCAGAAGGGCCTCCGTTCCTAAGAAACGCTGGAAGGCATCATGCCCTGCTCTGCAGACCACGTGGAAAGCTCACAGAGTCCGGAGTCCTGCAGATCTGGGCTCCCGTCCAGCCTTGGTGCCCACAGACGGTGAATGGCTGTCAGCCTCACCTTCCTCGTCTGTGGAGCAGGGGCCTGGGTGCTCGGGGAGGCCCCACCGAAAGCACGCCAGGTCCTTGATGGAAAATGACGACAACCCTTGTTACTTCTGCGGCCACTGTTTTTTATCCCCCACCCACCTCAGTTTGGAGCTTTTTGGTGCAAATGATTCTACAGGAAACCTCCCGGGATGGTGGCTGGCTGAATGAGATGGCCAGGCCCGAGCCAGTCATGGAAAAAAACGCCCCAGCCTTCCCACCATGTGCTGCTACAGCCAAAAATATTTTTATAGTAATATCCATTTATTTACAACCTGTGATCTAAGAGGGTTTTGTTTTTTGTTTTTTTGTTTGGCCTTTTTTTTTTTTTTTTTTTTTTTTTTTTTCCCCCTGAAGGATGCTTTTTAAGGTACTCTGGCCTATTTCCTATGCCTGTCTCGACTCAGTCTTGTAAACAGTCCCGGGAATTGCTTGTCGAATAATATTTTTAAAGGCGATGTCTGTGCTGGCTGAGCCTATGGAAGCTGGCATCTGCTCCCAAAAGTTCCCAGGACACCAACGGGATGCTGAGCTGTTTCCAGCCCAGAGCTGGTCACTAGCGGGACCTCACAGGGGCAGGGGGATGTCGGCCTCCAACGAGGCAGGCCACGGGCTTGGGCACTCCTGGACAAGGTGGCCCGATCTGTCCCCAAGCACCTTGGCCTAAAGGGGTCCTCTCTCACCTCCCCTGTGGCTCCTTGGGGACAACACCTTTTGTCCGTGGTGACCGATGATGACTCAAGCTGGGAAGTAGGGCTGAAGGCTCAGAGAGGCAAGGGGCTGGCCCGAAACACCTGGCAAGGCCAGATGGAACTGGGACGGGACCGAGGGTCCCAGCGCCCACCCCCTTTCTTAGTCAGAGCCAGTCTCTCCATCAAGCGAGAGGGAAACAGGCAAGCCTCTTGTCCACACCTGGGCTCCAGTCTGTTCTGCTGAGTGGAGGGAAAGAGAAACGTTAGGAGGGAAGGGTGAGGAGAGGACAGGAGGGGAGGAGGAGAAAGAGAAGGGGATGCCCCTGGTCCCAGGCCTGGCCCTCTGGTAACGTGTTTGCAGACCAGCAGGGCAGCCACCATTGACAGCATCTGCCCTCGTGGCAGTGAGCTGGCTGGCCCTCCACACCCCAAACCCAAACCAGCACAGGAGAAGAGAAAAGTGAGGTCCTCTGAAGGCCAGCTGCCACCTCCATTATCAGCCAGGGTTTCGCTTCCAGAACTCTGGGGAGCTGAGTGGTAGCTTGAGCCCAAGACTTCAGGTAAGTGAAGCTTAAGGGAGCAGGAACTGGTTTGCAAAGAAGAACCAGGATTTCAGGACAGCTCCAGGTGAGAGCCAGTGGGTTCCCTCCAGGGGCCACCAAAGAGCCCACTGAAGCCCAGCGCCAGCTGCAGGGAGCCACAGATACCCAAGAAGGGCAGCGACAGTGCCAAGAGTCCAGAGAGGAGGAACCTGAGGTTTCCAGGCTGCCTCCAAGGTGCCCGTCATCTGCTGCACACTGCGGGGTACCAACTCCTCTAACCCCACCCTCGCTGACCGAGACACCAGTTTCCCCGTTTCCCAGACCGAAACACTGAGGCCACGAGCAGCAGTGGCTGACTCCGGACCATGCGGTGACTCCGGCACCACAGTCCCCAGACCCAGGGCTGAGGTCAGTGGTCAGAAACCCCAGGAAAGCCCACAGACAATCACCAACCTTGCACCCCCAGCCTCCAATGAGCTACTCCGCCTCTCCGATCCTCATGGCGTGGGTAGGCCAGCCAGGGCAGCAGGTGCCAGGTCAGACCAAAGTCCAGAGAGAAGGGACACAGGTAACAGACTTGGAAAACGGGGTACTGGGGAAGGTACCAGGAGGAGGAGGCCACAGCCTGGCTTTGCCACCAACACTTACGTGGCCCTTGGACAAGGATCCTCTCTGGATATCGGTCTCTTCTATAAAACAGGAGAAAAGAACCAGCTAACCACAGAAATGAGAATATGACTACGGGGAAGTAGAGGACAGCTTGTGTCACAGGAGCTAAGGAGACGGGCTGAGGCCGAGACTCCCAGCCTCCGTGGCTCTGAAGGTGGCACGCCCCCCCCCCCACACTCCACTCCACCATGCACCCCCAGACGCCCATCAGGCAAGGAGATAATTTGTTTTATCGAGGGCATCTATTATCGCTGCTTTCTGCATACCTCTCCCCCTGCACACACGTGTACATACCAGGCAGATGGATGTGTAGGGGAGGCCCCGAGCCCCGTCCCCTGATGTAGTCAGGCAGCCCCCATAAAGATAACGGGAAATGATTCATAATATTTATTTGACAGACATGATATGAACTGTAATAGTCTGTTGGGATTAAAAATATCCGTACGTCTCTGTCATCCACCAATGTGGTTTAAATATGATGTATGTGGCCTCTGCGGCGGGGAGATGGTACTGGTT